TCCCCCTTTGTCATTATCAAAAAGAGAGGAGGCACAAATCTCATAAAAAGTACATTAAATATAAAGATAACTATGAGCTAAAATCCTAGCTAATAATGAGCTAACCCCTAGTTCAATAAATGAACTAAAGCCTAGCTCATAAATGAGCTAAAATTCTAGCTCAATTGGATTGAGCTAGTAGACTCAAGGGAAGTCAAAATATGATTTATTTTGGACTTATGTTGACCCCCCATTTGTCTACATCAAAGGGGTGTGTCAGGGAGGAGGGATGAAGGAGGTGTTGATCAAGTGGAGGACCTTCTGGATTATTATGCTACATGGGAGCCTTACGAGATGGTGCAGCATTAATTCCAGTCTTTCCACCTTGAGAACAAAGTGGGTTTTTGGGAGCGGAGTGCTAATACACCTAGACCGGTCTCGTAGGGACCGGTCCAACCCTTGGGCCGGCTCATCACATAGAGCAGGCGGAAGCCTGTAGTGCCGCAGGCTCCAAATCCCGCCCCCTTGGGACTGGAGTCCACTGCCTAGGGAAGAGAGAAGGGGGGTTGTTTAATCCTTTTGGCTTATTTTTATGTTTTTCTTTAAATAGGTGTTTTGGTTTAGGTTTAGGGCATCTTGAATATTGCTGAATTTGTTGTTTGGTGATTGGAGTCTTGGGCTCTAGCGGCACTAGAGATTTTGTAGAGATATATCCTCCTCTCGAAAAGATGATTAAGAAAATTATGAGTTAGATTCAACAACTTGCAAAAGATCCCTATGTGATAAATAAAATGTAGGGAGATAAAAATTTTTAGTTTCAAAGACTAATTTAAAATATGAAAAAGATTTTAAATCAAAAGTAGAATAACCTCTTTTAATAAATAGAGATTGAGAGTAAAAAACATAAGCTTTCTTCCTTTGAATATTTTTAGAGAAGTCAATCACAATTTACAAAAGATTTCAAGAAAAAAACAGGAAGTAGACTTTTCATTTTTAGAAAAGCGAATGTGTGTGTTGATCAAAGAAAAATTTTCACAAAATAGGAAGAAGAAAAATTTAAAGAATAAACAAAGACCGAAACACAAAATAAAATTGAAACAAAATAAATAAACAAAAAAAAAAAGAAAATAATTAAAAACAAAACACAACATAAACACACAAACAATGCTTTTAACCATTATCTTTCTCCTGGTCCGATGCTTCAGAAACTAGGTCTGCCCAAGAGATTTTTTGCTTTTCATTATTTCCTCACATTAAATTTTGTTTCGCCTTACCCTTTTCTTTCATAGGAAGAATTCTTAGATTAGGGCACTGATTTTTCATATGTCCAGGCTTCATGCATCGAAAGCAGATAGCGTCAGAGGAAATATGAACATCCTTACCATTTTTACAGTTTTTCCACTTTTGCTTATGCTTTGGCACCTTTGTGATTTTCTTGACAAGTCATTGCATTTGTCACAAACTAAGCAATCTTTTTCCATATCTTTAGCTTTTAGAACAATCATTTCACCTGCATCCAAAAGTCTTTGACCCAAACTTTACTCGTAGGTAATGAGTGAGCAAATCAAATTATCAATAGAATAATCATTCAAAATTTTTGATTCACAAATAACAACAATTTTAGGATCAAATTTATCAGTAGACAACGAAGAATTTTGTTAACTTTTTCTAAATTTGAAAATTATTTTCCTAAAGCA